TATATATATATATATATATATAACTTAGCAAAGTTTAAAGGCATATTTCAGATTGAACACACTGTGTGGATTATATCCGATTACTTTTTTAGTTTGTTTTTTTATTACCATCGCTTTTGGAATGAGTTCTGTGCGTGAATGATTTACTAAACCACGCTGTGTATCGAGATGTGGTTATGTCTCTCAACAAAGAAGAAATCACTGCTTTTTTTCAGCAACCCACCAACCAACCTATTAAAAGATATTTTGCAGAAAAACTTGTCTTATTCCATGCAGCTTTGGTTTGAATGAGTTACTACACCATGCAATCATACTGTGATTTGTTTTGTAAAGTTTGCCATCCTAAAATCAACAGCCATTAATTTTAATGTCTGTTTCATAAAAGGTACTGTCTGTCAGTTTACATGCGATTTATTGGGGGATATATTAAAATACCCCCCTTTTTAAACTGACAGTGAAATGTGAATCTATTTAAACTAATGTCTAGTGTAAAACTACTCATTTTCCTGATATTTCTCTCACACAGTGGAAATTTTAAGTTGTCTTTTCACAGTAATATTTCAGTCTTTATATCAGTTGAGGAGGTATGGATTGGGTGTTAAAGCGCATTGCTATATATTACAGGTAATTTGACATACATGCATCAACAATCAACTGGTACAGACAGGAGAGGATGCTAGGGATAGGGTGAATGGATGCAGATGGCTTGCTGTGTTTACCCTTAAGGGGAGGAGCCAAAAGAAGAAGAGGAGTGTTATCTTAATGCATGCTCAATCATCCAGGTAAGTAAATCTCCAAAAGTTGATTCTGTTCCAGGGAGGAACGCTGGTTTGAGCAGGGAGTCAAGGAGGCCATTTACGTGAAAAGGGAAAGACCATCTCTGAATCGAGGAGGGGGCTTAAGAGTACATCTTTTGCCATCTTGCAATGCTGTGATTGCAGCAATTCCCCCACTCTCTGTGAATGGCATTCATGGCCATTGATCAGTGGGCTTTGATCAGTGGGCTTTGATCAGTGGTTGTTTATCAATGGTCATGAGAATTTGCTCATTGTTCCTTCAGTGGTGCTAGTTTCAGTCATTATGCAAATGTACTGTTTATAAGATCGGGGAAACCTGCAGTCAGCTGAGACTGACGAAGTCACTTGGATGAGTGACGAAACGTTTCTCCCACTGAAAACACTACATCCAGATGAATAGAATCAACTCGGGAGAAGAGGAGAGATAGTGTCATCCTGCTGAGACAGACGGACCTTCCAGCAGAGAACCCAGGTTAATGTGCCTGCAGTATCCTTCTAGTCCACTTTGACTTTGGTCAAAAGCAGCCTAGTAGCATTAAAATGAAAAGATATCCAAGTATAGTTTAGCTAGTTTTAAAACTACAAATCTGGCGATTTGTAACTGTAACTGTAAGGTAAGAAATTAAGTATCTAACTACTTCTGACAATCATACACAATCCTAAATGAAGAGATCTCTGCTAACCAAGTGTCTCTATTAGAACCCCATAGCAGCAGCTGGTGTTATCGGTACTGACCCATAAATGGAAATTAAAAAGTAAAGAAGAGACAGGAGAAACACTCGTCAAACATATGGTGAGCGTTGACCCCAATTGTTGCATAGTTTGTCCACCAGAGGTCACTCTGCAACTTCCTAGTTGGTAATACAAGTTTGTAATACTACAAAAACAACAATCAGGCGATCAGTATGTAAATAACTACAGATAAAGAACAGTCGGGAAATCTACTTGTGTTTTGTGTATTGGAAAGAAAAAGAAAAGCGGCCAATATATGGGAGTATCCAATTTTTAAATCACCAAATATCGGCATTGATGTCAGCCTTAAAAACCCTATTTTGTTTGTACTATAGTCTCTGTAACCCTATGTCTGTGTGTAAGAGAAGAGATATGACATTTAAAAATACCAATAATAATAATAACCAAATGGAAGTTCGGGGTCGCCATGCAAAACTATCCCCATATCAAATGTTCGAATCTGCAAGATTCTTACAGGCCTACAAGTAAGCATTGCCTCACATATGCTATATGTACTGCACTTCCTCTCTCCGTCCATGGCAGAGATGTATCATGTACGCGGGTCTCAAGCCATGCAGTTTACTACCTAAAGGGCTCTGGGTTCAGCCACAGCTGGCTGTTCGTTCACGTGATGTTTTCCCCAAGAGCCAAAGAGAAGTAGAGAAGAGTACGTGCAGGACGGAGAAGTATGTTTAATTTGCATACTGGGCGCCTGTTCTGAGCATGTCGTGACGTCTAACCAATCAGGTCAGCGAATCCCACAAACCACGCCCGCGCGGTAACTCGTGTCGCGCGCTTCACAATCAGCATTGTACTAGTGTGCAAGTGAAAGAACCAAAAGTTACAAGCGTTTTTTTGTCACCGTTTCAGCAGGTTTACCTGACAGGAGGACTTTTTGTGTAGCAAGTTAAACTCAGGCAGAGCTCAAAGAACTGCGAGGACGTCTTCGGAACAAGCTCGTGGCTGCCGAGTTTAAACTGCTACCAGCGTGGAGAAGTTATTGTTCGCCACTCCGTGGGGTTTAAATTTCGGCTAACAGAAGCGCCCCAGGCCGAAGCAGGTTGTAAGCCCCGAGTGTTACAAACCGTAAGTTAAGTCGCAATGGCAGCTGTGTGCCAGCCACGACGGGCCTTGGCGGAAATACCTGCTCCACAGCCCAAAATTGCCGGTGAGTTTTTAGCTTTTCATTTAACATGTGTAACTTGTTGTTTGGAGAGAGGCGCCACCCTGCTCGAGCTATCAAGGCGCTCGCGCCCACTACATGTCGATAACAGCGCCAAATTTGAAAAAACAATTAAAAGTATTTCTGGTAGTTTCGTATCATGCTGTGAGTGTAAAATTATGTTAAATATTTTAACAATGCAACTTTTAAAAATATTAAATTCTTTACAGCTCGAATGAGGAGGTCCTACTTGGAAATATTAAGTTCACGTATGATCCCGACCCCGTCCCCACTTCCAAGAGGAAGAAACACAGCCGCAAGCACAAAGCGTATGCAGTCATGTAAGTTACGCTGTTAACCTTAAGTTAATTGTAGCTATACTTGCTGAGCTGATATGCGGTTGATTTTGTGATCTGACCTTATTGGAAGCTACATGGCAAAAAACAAAACGCGCTTGATAATAGAAAGGGAGTTATTAAGGGCTAACTTTGCTTGGTGTTCCCTGGTTTTGCAGTGGACTTGGCAGTTGGTGGAGCGTGGAGAGGAAGGCTAGAGGAGCAGTGTGAGAAGATGGATGAGCACCACACACCGCTCTCCAAACAGCAGCTTGTGCAGCTCATTAGATCCCTCATCTTGGTCGAACAGGTATTCATCAGTGGACAATTGAGCTTATAGTAAAGCTAATGCGGCAGTGTTTTTGAAGAAACGCTGCGATTGACATAATTTAACAAGGCGTGCATTCCTGTTGTACCCTAGAGCCAAGAGCCCAGGGTCATGGCATCAGACCTGAAGTATCTACAGGAAGACCTGCAGCTAAAGAAGGCCAATGTTTACAGGTCCATACCTTACTCACGGTTTGGATCCAACAGGGACGCTCACTGTTACAGAAAGGCATACCCTCACCTGGTGGCATTCAAAGTGAGTCTTTGTCATGCACCGTTGTGTTTTTAGGCCTTTAAAAGTAGGTTCTTTAAGGCTGCTATTTGTGTCCAGTGGAGATCTCCTTTTGCTATTCTTAAGTGCATTTATGTCACATTAAACACCTCCTCGTCTTCCACCTCAGGTTTCGTGTCAGGAGTGGGGCCAAGTTCTGCTGAGGAACAAAGATTGGGACGCCGTGTTGGAGCACTCACTGATGGCGTGGCGTTACACCAGTGAGCTGCCGCAGTGGGACACTGCGAGCCACAACGCCCTTCGAGAGCAGTGTTACAGCATCCTGGTGGCTCACAGCCTCACTGCTCTCCAGCACTATTCCCCCGAACCCAACAGAGGACGCGAGCTGCTCAGAAGGTAACACTCATTTTGCTCTGATGCGGGATGCCACGGCACCCACCCGCCCCCTTCCTTGTAGTGAGGTTTAAGCAGAGGATTGCACTATAAACACCTCAGTTTGGTTAGAACATAATACTTGTACATGCATGTGGGTGGTGTTTATATACACCAACGGCTTTCCGCAACCTCTCTGCTGATGGGCTGGCAACAAACTATTGACTTGAATATCAAGTTTAAGCAAAGCATCATGGACATCCTACTGAAGTCTGTCACCTGTTGAGTGCAAGTTTACACACCTTTCAACACCGATTCACAGATCACGAATGTGTTTGCCTCTCCACTTTCTTCCATGCGCCTGTCAGTCATTTTAGCAGCTAAAGTGAATTGAGCTTCACTTTGTGTTCTGAGGTTGTTGCTAACATTTGCTAATGTTCTGTTGGCACTGTGTAGACTCTAAATAAACTTGGTGCAAAAAAGCTTTTATTTATAGATTTAAGATTATTTAAGAGCAAAAAATAATATATAACAGGGAGTTATTAGTGCAAGTGTGACTAGATGTTTTTCAATCAACCCTAACAGATGGCTCTAATCTTTGTCTCTAGAATGAAGATGGCTCAGCTGTATAGCCAGTCAATTGTTCCCTGCATACAGGAGTTGCAGAGGATAATGGAATGTCTCGATGACTCGTCCATGGATACAAAATGAAAGGAGAAACCGGCAAAAGAGTGCAAAGTGTGGATGACCCAAAAAAAAAAGTGTTTTATGTGTGGTGATGGGCCAGAAACATTGAACACATTAGTGTTTGTATTAAACAACTACAATATTCTTCCAAAGGGCACGGTGGCAAGTACAAAATGAATAATGCCGGTTTCAAAGGGTAATAAATAATACTTCCTAAATGGCTGAAAATGGCATTTTAACAGCATGTGGAAAGTGTTATTTTAAGAGTTGTTGCACTGCACAATGGCAGAGTATTAATTAATGTAAAAGTTTGTTCATACATTACCAGCCTATATGAAAATGGAGAAGGAGCATTTACATTCCGAAAAGCATCCACTTGGTGCTTACTGTTAAAATGTTTGTATACTTTTAGACATCATATAGTTTCATCTGTGTCGAGGGCTGAAATATAAAAAGTATGAAATTTCCCCCGCTTGTTGTTTTTGCAGGGTTGTGTATATATGTTCTTGTTACTGTTTACATTACTTGAAGCTGTGGCCTTTGTCTTAGACTATAGTAATCTATCTTGTGTGTACAGATACTCATCTGTCAATGATTGCACTGTTGTTTGTCCTGAAAACTTGAACAATTTTGATAAGACTCCTAATTTAATTAAAGACGTTCTTTAAACTGCACTCATGTGTCTTTGTTTTGTGCGAGTGCTTTGCATGCATGCCAAGCACTGTGAACCTAGACGATCTGAGGACAGTGCTGTTTTCATGTAGTAACTCTAAAGTTTCTAAGTGTGGTGTGTTTTGTTTTTGTTTGTTTTTTTTGGGGGGGGGGGGTTGTTTGTTTTGTTTTGGGGTTTTTTTCCCCCCCAACCTCTCTGTTTCTATGCCCACAGTTTTATCTGAAATGGATCATAGGCTGTGGCTTGTAGGCTCCGAGAGTTGATTTGTATTGTTCAGTTTGTAAAGTTACTTGATTGGAAACAGTTTCTCAAAGATAGGCCATTACAGCAGATTATAGGATTAATTGACCAATAAATTGATCGTAAGTCTATCTTGGCAGTGTCAGAGTTGTCGTGCTCTTTGAGTTCCCATTTTGTACCACTAGGTGGAGCCCATGTAGCACGATTCTCCACAGGTGTTTGTGTTTCCAGAGTCAGGCTTGTGACTTCAGAGGAGGCAATATTAATGCCACTGGAGAAACAGCTGTTGCCATGGCACTCTGTAAAGTGAATATTAAATAATTTTAAATGCTATTTACGGTTCGAGATAATGAATGGGCGGATGATAGGGTGAGAGGCTGCTGGATGACAAGTAGACTTCCTGCTGCAGCAATGTTATTTCTGTTTGGAGAGTTGGATCTCCTGTTATATCTTCAGCTTTTGGAAGGGGATATCACAAAATCTAAGATTAATAGAATTATTTGTCTCCATGGTGTTGCAGAGTGGAACCTATTAATATTACTGCCTATGGCAACTCATGCAAATGTGGCTAACCCACTCACGTAACTTTGGTGTTAATTTATTATCCGTAGGCTGGAAGTGAAATGGCTAGGCTCACGATAGTCCTGGTTCTGTTAACATAGCCCACATATAGACCTCCAACCTACAGAACAAATAATACCAAAGAAGAGAACAGTGCCATCCCGACAATTTAGCTTTCAGAGACTGCACTGGTAGAAAAAAGAAAAGCTTAGCAGCAATACAGAAATTTCATGTTGTGCATTTTGTTCAATCTGTAAGCGTTGAGCTTTTTCACAAATACCCTAAAGGCATGATGGGGTTCTCACCTTTCACTAGCACTACAAGAAAATGGTTCTCAAAGGATCTCTGGAGAAGCCACCATGAAATCCTTAGCGAGATCAGAAACTTGGAATCAAATGCACAATGTTGAATGTGTGTAATATTCTGTGATCTTGTAGAGGAAATATTGTTTAAAGAAGTCCACACCGATGCAGTGCACACACACACAAAAACAACTATCAGTGCATTACAGCTCCCCTGTGCCTTGGATGTGTTTTTGAGGTTGTCTTCACTACAGTGCCAGCATCACAGAGGTTTGAGCTACAAAGAAAGACCTCCCTGTTTGCTTGCCTCTCTGCATAGCAATAAATTCTGTATTTTATCTCCACACTATAAACACCCCAAACAGTGCCCGCTTATATCCCCAATAGATTCTGTCACTCGAGGTTAGTCCGAGAGGGAATGAAAGAATATTTCACATTTTCAATTATTGCCTTCGAATTCGGGCTTAAGGAGCCGCATTACTCTACGGAGCTAAGATTTTTATGTCGAACTGTTTCCAGTGTGTCTCTTATATCAAATTGGAAATGCAGAGTATTTTGTTTTCTACAGCAAAGGAAACATCCACCCTGAAACACTATCTGTACCTAGTCTTCATGGTTCTGGTATCTCATCTTACAAAAGATAATAAAGCTAAAACAGAACAGTGACATATTGAAATATGTCTTAAAAGAAGCACAAATTAGTGTATAAATTTATTTCTACACATGCATGGGTGTCTTTTAAACAGGAAGTTTTCCTTTAAAAAAACCCATCTTCATCCATAATGATGTCAAGAACTTGACAAAGAAAAGTCTTTTATCCCTAACTGTACAGAAATGTTTCCATGTGGGTTAAAGGTGTAAAACACACAGAAAAGCTAAGCTAACAAAAATACCCATGTATGTGTGTACAGGCCATCAGGTAACAGGAGTTAAGATGTGCAGTTATATTTTAAAATAAAAAAACGTTTATGGAGGCTACAGTAGCGACATTAAAGTAGGAGTAGCACTGCTAACAAACAGCTAACAGCATTGTACAACAGAGTACTGTAACTGTTTTAACATTAAAAAGATGTAATGTTGTAATTTAACACAGAAAATTCTTACATTACCTGCTCAAACATAATAGAGCCATAATAAACGGTGTCTGCTTATGAGATGGAAGAGACAGTTCCTCCAGTATTGCTGCTACTTTTGTTCTTTCCACCTGCACATTCAAACCAAAGCTGTGAGGCTCCAGGTCTCCGAGTGGCATAAACGTGTTATCCTGGATGGCAGGTACTAGCACAATTTGTTATTTAAATTGGAAGGCTTGTTGTTTATACTAGCACATACTTGTAGCCAATCTGGAAATAAGCTACTCATATGCTATTTAAATTTTTAGATAGCAACATTTACCTGAACTGACCTTTAAATACGGACCATTCATTAGCTTAAGGATTAACACCTTTTTGCTATATGTAGCGCCTGAATTAGAAAAACAAGTAGCAAATTTGTAAACCATAAAAAGAAATGCAGCATAAAATAAATATGCAGGATAAAGAAAACTGAATGTACCAAAAGAAAAAAAAGCTACAACACTTCATCCTAAAATAGCTCCTGCAATGCCCTGGACATCACAGATGGATTGTGCACCCAAGGAATGACTAATTCCCGCTGCTAGAATGTCAGGTTTGCATTGGTGGGTTTTATCTTCTTGCAGAGCTTCTTTTCATTCCTCTCTAGCCGTCTAATATGGGACTGATTTACACCTGGGATGCCAGGTGAGTGTAATTAACGGTAATTAACTAGCTGTGAGGATGGAAAACCAACACCCGTGAGTCCCAAGGAGTTGCAGAAGGGGCTCAGAATGAGCGAACACAGTGACAGAGTGTTTGCACATGACTTCAATAGTCCTAACATAGCTAAATTCCTCTCATAGACATCTGCACTCGCATTCAAACATCTGTCACTTCAGCTTGGGCAAATAGAGCTGAAAGGGGGGGAGAAAGAGCACTTTGGATTTATCATTATAATTCCAGCTACATGGCTTCAAAGACCTGAGCAGGTACCAAGGACGGTGATAAGAAAAGCAAGGACAAAACCTACTGCCTCAGTCCTAGAGATGCCCTTTACAGTCTTTCACCGTTCAACTTTAATAATGCTGTGTAAGTGTAGTCTCCTTCAAAACAATAAACATAGCCTTTTTTTCTCTTCATGCTAGCAGAGCTATGAGCTAGTTTTTCCTGTTGCTAGTAATCTCTGAAAGGGATAAAAGTTAATAACTCAATGGGTAAAAAAGAAAAAAAGGAACGAACACCATGCACAATTTTGAGAACCCTATGAGAATCGAGCTTTTAGATAAGTTTTCAGACCCTAATTAGCCTGTTAGGGCTATGGCTTGTTAACAATCTTTATAAGGAAAGGCCAAGCTATGAAAGTTTCAAAGCAAGTGGTGCCGAATGTCACGAAAAGATTATCTTTCCCAGGTTTAAGCGTGGGGTTGAATCAGTCGGGCTGCTGGCTTGAGTTGCAGCCTGTGGCAATGGTAGAGAGAAGGATAGATTCAGTTAAAAACCAGCAAAATTCTGGAAGGATCTCATTGTGATAATGATCCAAAACAGAGCCAGGAATCTTCCATGGGCTACCTCAAAACATGCAAGATCAAGGTTTTATCATGGCCGGCAGGGGCAGTCAATTCTTTCTCTTAGTTTTTTTGAAACTATGAGTTGTTGCTTTAATTATTTAAAAAGTCATCTGGCATTGTATAATACAGATCGCCGCTAATTACTGTTTGCAGGGGAATATTATTGATTGTCGGAATTTTAAAGAAATTCTTACTGAATGCTGATTTGGATTTGAAGCTAATCATTTCTGTCTGATAAGATTTAAAGCGCTGAGGCTGCAGCGCTCACAGGCAAAGGTGTTTGAAATAGAACAAAAATAAGCGAAACCGTTTTCTATAAATGGCGTGAACTCTGAATCCTGACACCTGAAACATTTATTTTTTTCATCTTTGGTCTAAATTATCTGGTAAACCTTTCTCCCAGCAAATATTTTGACATGTCACAGCAGGAGAACGTGCAGGAAACAACAACAGGGTTTCATTCCATTGAAGTTACCCAGGAAGCTAATTGTGCTTTTCCAGCAATGTTAAGTCTTTTTTAAGACAATGCCTGCTGTGTTACTCTGATTTCATATGACATATTGTTGTGTTGCATAACACATAATTCTAAATGGGGTTCTGATATATATTAAAAATATCTATAGTCTTTAACCTTGGCTCCTCCACGAGAGGCCCGTGGAGGGTCCTGTGAAGTATCTTAGCTGTTTCTAGGACTGAGCTCTTCTGGACAGAGATCTTGGATGTTGTTCCTGGAATCTGCTGGAGCCACTCGCCCAGCTTAGGAGCCCTAAGTACTCTGACTACTCTAATTACCATTGTTGCCTCCAGCCTATACATCTTCTCTAGCTCCTCTCTCAACCCTTGGTATCTCTAAAGCTTCTCATGTTCCTACTTCTTAATGTATCTGGTTGGTTAGCCATCACCAGTTTGTCCGTCTGTATCTCGAAGTCCCACAGGATCTTAACTTCCAGGCCATACTCGGTACAAATGTTCCTGTACACTATGCCAGCTGCTTGGTTATGGCGTTCCCTGCCTGCTAGCATCTTGCACCCTGTTGTTATGTCCGGACTGTCTCAGCGGGATCTTTGCACAGCCTGCATCTGAGATCTAGACCCCGTGTCTATCGAACTTGTGTTTGGACCTTGATCCTTTGCTGCCACGTTTGGGGCCTTTGTTCTGACTTTCAGTCCAGCTTTGCCAAGCCACTAGTAGGATTTTTCAACATCACCCACTCCTTTTATCTGCCAGTGGTACATGATGTCTGTGTGTGCACACAAAATAAAAAAAATGAAATTC